TGAGAGACTGAATTGTACTTTACAATAGGGAGCTGCTTTTGTGATGACACAGAGGCAGGTGTTTTGCTGCAATATAAATGAATTTAGCTTGGGAGCAAGCCCAGAGCTCCTGCACCATCAGATATTTATCACAAAGCAGATTTTCACACTTGGTTCTGCAAAAGGGTGAACTTTGCTGAAGCAAACAGCAGTGGATGAGATTCTGATGTGCTAAAAAACAGCTTCAAAGAAATGTAATTCATAGCCTCCAAAATAAAAAGAGAATCAACTGAGAACACAGAGGGAGCAGAGAATTTGTATAACCTGCCAATGTAAGACTCTTAAGTTTTTTATTGGCTTGCAACTGATTTAGATCCAAAGACTGCTCATGCTTAAACCACCTAGACATTTCCATTTCCTTCACTGAGACCAGGATCTGGACTATTGCAATGAAAACCAGTCTAAAATAAGAGCTTATCCCATGAAAACATTCCCATTCACGATATCATGTTGTATCAGACCAATTGTGACACCCAGAAATACTGGAAAAGAGACTGAATTCAGTGACTGGTTATATCAGGGTTGCTACATGCCTGACAAATGACAAAATTATTCTCCACCAAGTGTTGCTGTGGCTATTGCTTTAAGAAAGTTGTGTCCTAGCAGACAAGGGTTAAAAGTCTCAAAAAACTTTATCAAAGCTATTTCTCAACTTTTTTAGTGAAAGTTACTGATTTCACAGTTTCATAACTTTGTACCTGTAGACTTCTTGCTTTCAGAACAGATATTTGCTAAACCTGTATTTTCCAATGTAATATATTTCACTTAGGCGTAGCAAATTATCAAGAGAAAATCCTCAGCACTGTTCAACTCAAATGAGTTTTCAAAGTAGGGGCATGATCCCCACCAGGCTGACTTGGAAATAGAATTAGTAAAGAAGAAGTCCATTTCATGTATTTTATTTCAGTTTATTGTCCATGACCATAAAAATATAAGATGGAGTGGTAGAACTTACAGTAGGAGCTCCATCATATTTGCTGTTTAAACTTTTAAAACTGGTTCTCATTTCAACTAAAATTATTATTTTTATTTATTTTTACTTTTCATGATTACAACTGTACATCATTCCCCATGACCTAATCCATCAAGTCACAGATTATGAACTGGTTTCTTCATTGTCAAGCCATTATTTAGATGGAAAAATCATCAGCAGTTAGCTAAGCAAAGCCAGCTAACCAGAGCCATACCTTGCACTACAAGGAAAAATACTAAAACTAAACAGCTCTGCCAAGAAAGGCCTGGAGCCAAGACTGCTCATTAAAGCCCAGGAACATCTGTCTGCTTATGACTGTCTAAGATCTCAGCACAGCTTTTTTTCTCTCTGACTTTGACCTTCACTGAGATTCCCAACAGAGGTCCACACTTGAGTCTAGCCATAACTATTAACTGGTTCCCACTGAGGGGGATTAAACTTTTCCATGATAACCTTGACCTTCTTTCTTCTAATTCACCTTGCATTTCCCTGAGGTGGCTAAACAGTGATTGACTAATAATAAAAATAAAAGGTAAAAAAACCCACCTTATGAGAACATACATCTCTGTCCCAGGAGGCGATTTCCATAGCCTGATTGCTCTTGCCATTTGGTATTTGTCATCTTTCACAATATAAAAATAATACATAACTGAGATAAGAGGAGACATCCTGAATATTCAAATGAAAGCTGAAAATAGATTTATATCACAATTTCAGTGTTATCTTCATTGCATGGGCATTTTGGCATGCTCAGTAATGCCATTTGCAGCATCACTCTATGTTGCTGGATATGAAATATGGAGCAAAAACCACTCACGCTTTGTAGAGATATCTGTGATAAGAGTGATGAGAGAACCATTTAATCCTCTTTGGTGTTTAGACATTGCAGTTTGTTTCAGGGTAGAGTGCTGGTGCAGGTGTAATTGTATTGTTGTAATTTTTATCATCTGTGTTTAACCATTTGTGAAAAGTTCAGTGTCCACTGGTGCTATGTAGTGACCATGCATATGGTAGAGAACAGTCCTGCCATGTGATCTTAAAGCATTGACTCAGTGGACACCCTCCTTCCACTCCACACAGCCAGAGGTACACTTCGTTCATTTTCAAAATGTTGTTGGGGCCTCTTTGGCACTCTGTGACCTGAGCTGGGGAACCAAGGGAGAGGCTGCAGATTGCTGCCATAGCTGGGATGGGGTGATGGAGACCAGAGCTGTATTTCAAAGAGGTCCTCAGAGCAAACTCCTCATCTTCTTCTCATGTGTCTACATGCTTCTTTTTCATACATGATGCTGAAGAAGAGACTTGCATTGCTGATGAGTAATCTTGATGCCAGATTGTGCATTGGCAAATAGAAGGAATGATTTCCTCTTCCCTACTTCCTTAGGTGGGTGAATGAGGAAAATTACATTTAACATTTTAAGGTGCATAGATAAAATGGCAATTTGTGTACATGACCTGCCTGATTATATCCTAGTTAGTATCATTATAGGCCAGGATGTAGCTGGGGGTTGAAGCTGAGCTCAAAAGTCACTATATGCGAGGCTCTATTTCTGCTTTTTTTTTGTAGTGAAACTAATCTGGGTCTATGCTACTTTATATTCATAATATTTCATAGAATCCCAGAATGGTTTGGCTTTGAAGGGATCTTAAAGATCATCCAGTTCCAAACTCCCTGCCATGGGCAGGGACACCTTCCGCTAGACCAGGTTGCTCCAAGCCTCATCCAGCCTGGCCTTGGACACTTCCAGGGATGGGGCATCCACAGTTTCTCTGGGCAACCTGTCCCAGTGCT